AAACAGCTCTATTCTGTGGTGTTAATAACTAATTTAAAGTAGCAACATGCACATGTTCTGTTTCAATCTTAATACTAACACCAGTTCTGAGATATAAAAGACAATACAACAAATACAAAAACAATCCAGTGTTTGAGTGTCTAAACCAGGATGAATAACAGGCTGTTGGATCAATAATAAAAAAAATAAATAAAGAGGAAAGAGATGGGGTCAAAAATAACATTTCAAACATGAAAAAGGTACCTCAGGAGAGAAAATAGATGGATGCTTGCTTTAAAAACATGAAAAAGGTGAAAAAATAACAGCATGTCTTATACAAAACTCTGCATTATTAACATAAACTGAAATTACGAGCTTGCCAACAAGCCATAGACCTTTGGGCCGTGGTAGAATGTAATATAGTTTTATAGTATTTTTATAGCAATTTTATATTTTATAGCATTACTGGGAAAGTAACCCTGCTCTCATGGCACTCAGTTTGTTATTTTTTAAGGATGATGCAATTCCCCCCCATTTAAAACTGTTCAAAATGTGCCATGTATCATTCTGAAAACGACTGCTTCTCCTAAGACAACAAGCAGTGCAGCACCTTATTACTGCATGGATATGTGCGCGTGAATGTGTGCATGGTGTCTGTCTCCGGAGATATACTTGCCTGACAGTAAGATGTTTACCTTGTGGGTTTGCAGATGCACCTGTCGCTCTTCGCAGGCAAACTTTTAATTGGAGTCAACCTTATGAGTTTTCAGCTCAGACAGACTGAGAGGGCATGCCAAAACAATTAACCTTGTTACACGGCTGGCCTTGCTCTCTTTATTTAGCTAACATTTCTCCGCTTACATGTCAATACGTCTCACAATTTTCCGATACGCTTGTTGTTCACGTTTTTGCTCCATTCAAAAGAAGCTTTATGCAAACAGTGAAACATGAGTCAGATTTCACTGAGGCTTTCTAAACTTTTCCAACAAACACCATCAAAACTAAATGTTTTCACATTCACACTGTCCTAAAATGTTCCCCCACATTCACGTTGTTCTACAATGTTCTCCTTATTCATGCTATTTCAGGTTGTTCTCCCCCATTTACACTGTTTGAAAATGTTCTCATACATTCACATTGTTCTAGAATGCTCTCCCCCATCCACACTGTTCTTAAATGTTCTCCTTATTCACGCCGTTTCAGAATGTTGTCCCCTATTCACACAGTTCTAAAACCTTCTACCTTATTCATACTATTCTAGAATGTTCTCACTTAGTCAGGCTGTTCTAGCATGCCCTCCCCATCTACACTCTCCTAGAATGTTCTCCCCCATATACAATGTTTGAAAATGTTCTCCAATATTCACATTGTTCTAGAATGCTCTCCCTATCCACACTGTTCTTAAATGTTCTTCTTTTTCACACTGTTTCAGTGTTGTCCTCCATTCACAGTCCTAGAATGTTCTCCCCATCCACATTGTTTCAGAATGTTGTCCCCTATTCACAAAGTTCTAAAGTGTTCTACCTCCTTCATACTATTCTAGAATGTTCTAACTAAGTCAGACTATTATAGAATGCCCTTCCCACCCACGCTCTTCAAGAATGTTCTCCCCTATTTACACTGCTTAAAAAAATGTTCTACCATGTTCACATTGTTCTAGAATGCTCTCTTCATCCGCACTGTTCTTTAATGTTCTCCTTATTCACACTGCTTCAGAATGTTCTCCCTATTCACACTGTTTCAGAATGTCCTCCCTATTCACACTGTTTCAGAATGTCCTCTCTATTCACACTGTTTCAGAATGTCCTCCCTATTCACACTGTTTCAGAATGTCCTCCCTATTCACACTGTTTCAGAATGTCCTCTCTATTCACACTGTTTCAGAATGTTCTCCCTATTCACACTGTTTCAGAATGTCCTCCCTATTCACACTGTTTCAGAATGCTGTCCGACATTCAGAATGCTGTCCGACACACGCAGTTCTAAAATGTTCCACCTCATTCATACTATTCTAAAATGTTCTCACTCAGTCAGACTGTACTAGAATGCCCTCCACACTCTTCTAGAATGTTCTCCCCATCCACAGATCTAGAATATTCTACCTCATTCACACTATTCTAAAGTGTTCTTACTTGTTCAAACCTTAGAATGCCCTCTGGAATGCCATCCCATCCACACTCCTCTAGAACGTTCACCTCATTCGCGCTGGTCTTGAACAGGGGTTCTTAACCTTTTTCAGTGTGGCCCATTTTAAGGATTAAAATATTTCAGCAGGGCTTGTGCGCACTCATCAAAATGATTTTCTCTGTGTGTAACTATGTATATGTCTTTGCCGCACCACTCTGGCAACCCCCCCTGGGACCACATTCTCCACATTCACTCTGTTTCAGAATGTTTTCCTCATTCACACAATTCAATATCCTTCATTCACACACTCATTCAAACTCTTCTAGAATGCCTGAACATCCACACTGTTCTAAAATGTTCTCACTCATTCACACAAGCCTAGACCACTCTCCCCCTTTCAAACTGGAGGAGAGCAATTCACACTGTTCTAGAGTGTTTATCCCTCTTTCGCACAAGTTAATCTGACTCAACAGCTCTGTTTGTAAGCATTTTAAAACAGCTGTGAACATTGCTGGTGTTTGTTGGGTCAGTGTGCTGAGGTCCACAGAGCTCCATAGCTTCAGAACTTCCCCTGTAGACTGAGGAATGAACAATTACAAAGGTTCACCCAGACCAACCTTTGTGTTCCTCAGCCTCAGCACAGCTTTCCTCTCATTACTTTCTCCTGCACCCCTCCACCTCTCCTGCCCCTTTCAACCAGCTGCCCTCAGCACACTGCCTCCAGCACTCGCTCCCTGTTCACACTCTACTGTTTTCTTTTAGAACTCTCCTTTACATTCTTTTATATCTCTTTTCCAACATCCCCTGAACAGCGTCACTGTTTTCCTCATGCTGTATCTTTATTTCCCCTGCTGTCAGTCTCTCCCACTCAATAACTCTCTCTATCTCTATATACATCTCTCTTCTCCTTCTCCCTCTCACTCTTTTTTCTCTTGCTATTTCCCCCTCTCTCCTGCACTCTCTTTCTCTCCTCACCCTCCCTTTTGTCTTTGCCTTCTCTGTTTTCTTCTCCCTCTGTCTGTTTCTGCCTCTCTTTCTTCCTCTCCTTTTCCTCTTTTGTCTTTGCCTTTTCTGTGTCTCTCTCTATCTGTCCCTGTCCTCTCCTTCTCTTGTCTTCATCTTTTCCATTTCTCTCTCTGTCCTTCTTTCTCCATCTTCTTATCTCTCCATCTCCCCCTCTCTTTCTCTCCCTTTCGTTTCTTTGCCATCTCGGCTTCTGTTTCCTTCTTCCTCTATCTTCTCTTTCTCTCTCTCCTCTTACTCTCTCTCTCACCCTTTTTTCTCTCTCTATTTCTTTCTTTCTCATGTGCACTTTCTCTCTTTCTGTCTCTGTTTCCTCTTTCTCTCCTCTCTGTCTCTCTTTTGTCTTTGCTTTCGCTGCTTCCTCCTCTCTCCATCTTCTTCTCTTTCAATCTCTTCCTCTCTTCTCCCTCTCGTCTTTGCCTTTTGTTTCTCTTTCTGTTCTTCTTCCTCTATCTTTTTTATCTCTCCCTCCCTCGCTTTCTTGCTCTTCCTCTCCTCTCCCGCTCTTGTCTTTGCCTTTCTGTCTCTCTATCTGTCCTTCTTTCTCCTTTCTTTAGCTTATCTCTTTCCCTCCCTCTCTCTCTCCCTCTATATCCTCCTCTCTTTCTACCTCTTCCTCTCCTCTCACTTTCTCTTTTGTCTTTGACTTCTCTGTCTGTCTCTCTCTGTCTGTCTCTCTCTGTCTTTCTCTCCTCAGATCCCCAGTTCTCTGTTTAGACAGAGTTGAGGGGAGTTAGTGGGTACCGGAGAGACGTGAAGCTCATCACTCATCCCGACAGCCACATAATAACGTACATTAATAAGAAATGCAGACGGCTTTTATGGCAGCGCATCGCGCTGGTCCAGAGTGACAGGCTCAGTCCACACTTTAATAATGCAGTGAGCGGAATGTCATGTAGGCCACATCCCCTCCATTTCTCTCTCTGTTTCTTGCTCTTTATCAGATCCATCCCTTCCTGTGAAGGACAGCTTTACAGCATTACTACCCAGCACACAGTTTGAAGTCTCTACAAAAGCACACGTGGCAACATTAATTACAGATTTGATCCCTGCTTGGAGCATAGTCACTTAAAGCTCAGAGCTATGATCTTATGATAACCTCTAAAGGTTTAAATTCACAATTAGGTTCAAAATCACTGTATATTGATTTTATATTGATAGACTGTGTAATGATTTCAACCAAGTATTAAGAAAGAAGTTGAAGTACAGTGTATACAGTGTATTGAAATGTAATTGAAATTGAACTGTACTGCTTTGGTCTCTTCAGAAGGTCATTTACCATTATCCAGGGAAATCATTGTCAACAATCAAAATCAGGTACAATTGTCAGGGAGGGAGAGGTGGTTTCTTGGGATTGTGATTTTTGTGGCTTATTTTGGTATCAAATATCAAACCAAATTCTGACCTCAGGATCAGAATACTGAACCCGAAAATATGTGACATATACACACCTAGCATTGTAGATTACTTTTCCATTCTGACAAAAGACTCATTTACATAAGTCCAAGCAGGCACTAGACTTTTTATTTGAAACCAAATTGATGCCACCCACTTTGCTTATGTTTAGGTTTTATTAATCAGCTCTGATACATGAGTGTCTGGGCCCAAGCTGCATCATGCTCCAGTATTTCCCTGCCAATAGCCTAAAGTAATAAAGCCCACTCCTGCCAATAAGCCACAGCAATAAAGCCTTGGTCTAGCATTCACCCACACTTCTCCTGTTGACCCTAATAAGAAAATTACTGAATAATTATAATATCTAATCCATAGTAAAATTAACAGTGTTTTTAAATGACTTTCTAATAATTACTTGATTTTTAAAATGCACCAAATAAAACAGAAGACAAGAAGAGATGAGATCCGACACTTACTTCAGCAGTACACAGCCGTTGCCTGGCGAGGGCGCTGTCCAGAACACTTGTATTCTGGTCCTCCTACGAGGGGTGCTCTCAGTCACGGCAGGCGGGCAATTAGTCATAAACTGTGTGTCCTCTTCATCGATGATCTGCAGAACAACACACATTCACAAATTACAGCACAAATCCAAATATTTTCACACACAGCCTATTCTTATACTGTTTACATGTTTACATCATCTAAAAATATGAATATAATGTTTACTTATAACATTGTGCAGCTCAAAACAACTCAAATCATATTTGCACTATCCATCATGCACTACAGAAATAATTAATTAATTATGCTGACCTAATTACACATCAATCACCCCTAACAACCACATCTGGTAATTCCACAGTAATTTAGGGATTTTTGTCATTAGATTAATTTTTAATTAAATGTCATCAAACAAACATAATCACATTCATACTGAATAGTAAATACCATTAACCCTTGAAAATCATGTGCCAAAGCAGCTGTCATTGGGAATCTTATTTGTCACAGTGTGTTTGTTTTTTCCATGCTGTAGTGGTACATAATCTACAATAGAATACTGGATTTGTGGTGCTGTATCTGGACATGTATATACACTTTATGATACTCATGCTTTGGTTGACATACAGACCTAATAAATTATAATGTTTTCCTACTAGTACTGAGGGAAAACAATAAAGCATATGTGTGTGTGTATATATATATATATATATATATTTATATATATATATATATATATATATATATATATATATACACATACATATATACATACACACATACACATACATATATATCATTATTATTTGTAGATGACCTGCTTTCAGTTTTGCTAAGAAACCTGCAGGCATATTTTTCCACACCTCCAAAGTTCAGTCTTAAATGTTGGTTGCATTTTCTGCTTCTCGCAGTTCAAGTTGTCTCAAACTCATTGGGGTGGTCAGTCTATTACTCTGAGAACACCAGCAGCATATCTTTGTTTCATTTACAAGTTTTTTTTTTCTTTTTTGTTTATTTCCTTTTCTCAGTGAAGGCTTATTGACAGCTATACATCCTTTCAGACCAATAGCCTTGAGTTGTCTTCTCACAGTGTAAGGATGGACAGAAAACCCGTTTTTTTTTTTTTCAGATCTGAAGCAAGAGTGGAGCTTGATTTTCTCCTCTCTCTCAAGGATGAAAGCTTTAAGTGCTGTTTATCTGATGGTCTCAGTTTTGGTGGTTTCCTTTGACTTTTTCCTTTCTTATGCAAGTGAATTACATAATATATCTAACCTCCTCAGAAATACTGCTGGAAAAATAAAACAACAATTACGTAGAAGTTATTTAACAGAAAATTAAATAAAGTGTGGACTTTTGTACAGGACTGTACCACCCCAGGCACACAGAGGCATGCTTTAAGTGGTGTCCTTGGGGGTTAGATATATGACTTTTCAGTTGAAAGTGCCTTAGAGACATGGTTCAGACAAGTGAAGTGCTGTGGGTGTTACATACACATAGAGGTCAGGGGAAATACCAATTATCTTAACATCCTCCACCCAGTAACCCCAGCAGCAGACAGACTATATACAGGCAGGGCAGTGAACTCCAAATGCACACTGAGGGGAATACTGCACACCACTTAGGGTAACAGTTTTAAGGGCAACTTTGATTCTTTGATTACAGTTTTATATCAGAGGCATATTATTTCTGCAATATCTCTGTGGTCCAGTTTTCACATTCAAGTATTATCCTCAACTAATTCACTACACTAGAGCTCGAGGTAATCATCACTCAGCTGCCATTTACAAAACCTTAAGATTCTTCAAAAGCCAGGAAATGCCAGGTCACTGGCAAGTCCTTTCTGAAGTACACGGCTGTAAGATTCCACTTGCTGCTCACTTATTGAGTTAAAAAAAGAACAGCTTGCCTTTACTTATATAGAGAGAATAACATTTCTCTGGTGACTGCTTTACTGATAATAGCTGACTGTCTCACTTTGCATAACTGGGGTGGCCCGAAGGGTGGCCACACATACCCTTGGCTGCACCTCTGGTTCCTTTAAATGTACACACACAGCCTACACCACCAATAGTGCCAAATGACCCCTTTTTCACTTCCAGTAGGCCTTAAAAGGGAATTCCAAGTTTTCAAAAACTTCTGAACAACTGAGATTTATACAAAGTCACTTGAAGGTTTTTTATATGAATTGGTGCATGGTAGAGAAACTTCTTGACTCAGGGATCAGGGATTGAACCAGGGATCTACAACACAAATATAGTCATGTTATTTACTTTCCAAAATGAGCATTGTACCTACACATGTCTTCTGAGATTTTACATATAGATTCATGATGCTAAAATAGTGGTAAATCTGAAAAAGTACATTTTCTTTGGGGACTATTTGTGCTTGCTAACACCTTGCATGCACCTCTCCACCCTGAATGTGTTTTTAAAAATGTTTTAAATCTAAAACAATCTAAAACAATGTGTCAGGTATCAGGCAATGTATGTGTCACAATTTTGTGTAATAATTTTACTTCACTTAGGCACTAAACACAGACGTCCAATCACCACCACTGTGAACAATTCTGAATCTGTATGTTTTTTTCAGAATGGCACATCTCACTTTAAACCACTGTGAACAACTTTGTTTACATCTTAATTAATGAGTTATGCAGAAATTTTGAACATTCGGTGGAATTCCCCTTCATTCCTAAACAAATATAAGTACTTCTAACTTAGTGAATGTGAAATCTAGGGTTTTGCAAGAAAATGGAAACCTGCTTTAAAGCTGAAGTGGAGTGGTTATGGAAGTACTTTGAAGCTATACAGGCTGAGCTCTCACTGTATGAACCAATGTTCAATGATCTTAGAAAAGCGTTTTCATGTACCTAATGCACTGTTTACAGTACAGTAAAAGTCAAACCTATAATTATCATGTGATAGCTCACGCTGGGATGAGAACATTGAGTTGTGCTCTAGAGGTATTTAAAACCTGTTGTCTTCAAGAGATGAGTTTTTCTAAGCATAAGGTGAATATGAACATAATGGTTTTAAAAATCATAGAGTGTGGCTTTAGTTATGGCTCTCCCAGAAAGGCCTTTTGCCAAGTTTAAGGGAGGAAGTAGTAAAACCACCAGAGCATAGGCAAAGTCTCACTTCTGATGAACAACTGCTATAATATCCATTCACACAAATCCAGAAAAAAAAAAAAATCACATAAGACAAAAAATTCTGGCAGTCACCCCATATCATGAACAAGCTTACACTGGATGCTTGGCTCAGTCTAAAAGGTCTGAATTGTGATCTAGGCTATGTGAAGGGTGTGTGTGTATTCATCGCTATGACATCTCGTGAGAATGCAGTAAAAGGCCCAGCTGTGAAAAGTGTCAGGCCGACCTTTGACCCGTAGCGTTTGGCTGACTGAGTGAGGGTGAGCCTGCTGGTCCAGCTGAAACAATATCACACAATGTCAAACAAAACCAGACCGCCTGTGCGGCCCACCGGCTGCACGGCTGGCCAAACACAGAGAAAGTGATTGCACATGTCACACACATTAAAATAAAGGTTCCCTTAGTCTGGGATCATTTCTCAAAGCAAGTTGCTAGGAACCTCCAGCCATTTAAGTGTGAGGTCGCAAAGGACACAGCCTGGATTTCCAGCTGGATGAAACTGAGACCACTAGGGAGTCAGTTAGGAATCACACCCAACTGAAAAAGGCTTCCTACAGTCAAGCAAAGAGGCTTTGCAGTACAACGGAAACTGTATAATTGGCCCCAACCATATCAGCGTCAACACTGTTTCTATGTATTCCCTAGAATCTTCCTGCACATATAGTCAGGCCCATAAATATTTAGACGTTTCTAAAGTTATTGTTATTCTAGCTGTCTGACACAGCACATTGGAGCTGGAATTAAGGAATAAATAGCGTCGCTGTCCAGAGGAAACCATGTATCTCCATTTTTGCCAATTTTAATTTTTCTACATCAATTCTACATCCCAGCTGTCCTTTACATTGTGTGATAATTACATGATAAATGGAACAACAGAAATGCTCTAAAAATCACTTGGAATAAAATCACTTGGAATAAAATCTCTTTACATTAACTTACACTGAAAGGTAAGAGTGTTTTACCCTTCTCCTGAAAAGTTACTACTTTGGAGTTACTTGTTTTTCTTTGGACAGTGATGACGTAGAATTTCAGCTTTAATTTGAGGTTATTTGCATACAAATTGGGTGAGCAGTATAGGGATCACAACCATTTTCATACAAAACCTCCTTATTTTTAGGGGTTCAAAAGAAATTGGACAACTGGATGCTCAGTCCTTTCATGGACAGATATTTTCTATTTAAGTTCAACTCCAATATGCCGCAGTAGACAGCTAAAATACCAATAACTTTGTTCACATCCAAATATTTATGGACCTGACTGTAACATTATCAGCGAACAGAAAAGTAGTCAGTCACCACTCAGGCACAGTTCCAACTGACCTCCCAAGAGGGCCAAACAAAAGTGCTTTTAGAGCAGTCAGAATCCAGGCAGAAATGGCTGAGACGGCGCACGCCTTCAGATTTCAAATAAGCTGTTCTTCAAATAACCCCAGTCGCAAGAGGGTTCTGTTTTCCAGAATTCTAGCAGAAAAACAAGGGAAAAAAGCAAACCCCTTTTGGGCCACATGAACCTTGGGGGGTAGAAAGAAAGGGAGAGAGAGCGTCACCCCAGGCTGTGAATGTGAGCCAGGCAGGCAGTCTGGGGAGGCTGATCCAGGGGTGGCAGGATTGATATGAGTGCCACTCCTGACAGAAAAAGGGAGAGAGCAATGAAAAGGTCCCTGGTCTCTAGAGCTAGTGAGCTTGCAAAGGGACCTGACTGCAGTGAAAGAGGGAGGGAACGATCAGGGATTGAGGAGGAGTGGGAACAAGGGACTAGCCCAGGCTTTGTGTTAGTATTTGGTGTTCCCGCTTTCAGACTTTCAGAGAGTCCCAGCAGACCAGAGATTATTCATTTATAGCTGAGAGAAACCTGTGAGATTTTAAAGCTGGGAAAGTTCAAATACCCCATGATGACTGGCCAAATGAAATGCCAATATCAGTTGAGAAAACAGAAGTGGGGATCAACATTTGATAGGGCTG